CACTTCTCCAAATGACGCAACCAGTCATCTAAGATGAAGGCCAAAAATGAAACCCTCTGACCTGTCCAAGGTCTGTATCTTCAGCATCTCTAGCAACAGAGGTTCAGTCTAAATAACATCCTCTCTTTAAGTTCTCATTTGTACCAACAGCTACTTCAGAGTGAAGAAAGTGTCTTTCATCACTGGTTCTTAAGGAGTGGATCTCTGGTCCACATCTCCCAATGCTGCTTAGCCCAGGAAATGAAAAGACAGCTGACAACACAGAGTAACATTAACGAAAAGAACAAACCCCAAACTTTAAATGCATAACTGGGACTGCTGGAATGGGCCAAGGCATACCATGGCGGGTCACTGTCACCAGGAGGGTGCCTATGTTTTAGAAAGAAGTGGCCACCAACACTGTCTGGCCACCCTGGAAGGACCCAATGTGACAGCTAAGGACACTAGACAAGCATCCTAGCCTTCTGATCTCAGTGTGATCTTGCCACAGAGCCACTTACAAGCCATTCGGCCACCAGCCTGCAGAGGTGGACTGCTGTGGGAGAGGCTTCGGTGGAACAAACTGGCCTAGAATCTGGTGCCACAGAATAGTTGGCTCATAAATCTTTTATCCCAAAGCACCCCTATTTGCACCGAGCATCTTGTCATTTGGTAGTTCCACAGTGACTGCTCTTCTATTTTACGAAGCCACTTTTCCTACCACTGAAATGTGGTTCCGCATCTTAAGAAACAGGCCAGAAGGAGAGGCCCGGTCGGCCACGAACATGGTCTTCCATCTTCTGAGGAGGCGGCTCGTTCCAACGGTATGTCAAACGTCATGACATCCAACGGTATGTCAAACGAAGGAGACCTGGGGTGGTCTGGGTCTCACACAGCTCAAGTTCAACAATGTCTCCAGTACACACCAGCTCCTGCTGCCTCAGGGAAGGGCTGTGTGGGAGAATGTCTTAATGCTCACATCAATTCCATGATGTGCCTCAGTGGTTCACGTGACTTCAAGCAGTGTGAGCTGCTGGCAGAAGGAGGTTGCATGGAAAATGCCACAACTCAGCTTAAGATTATTTGGACACAAAGGAGGAAAATCAAGAGGCGGAGAAATCAGCGTGAAGTTAGGCTAGAACTGTGGATAGATGATGCCTTGGTATAGTCAAGGTGGGTGGGTTGGTCCAGTAAAATGACTGCACCATCACACAAGCCAAGTTTTCTCTTTTATTGAAGTGTTTCTGAAGCATTTGTTATGATGGGCACTACACTGCTAGTGTTTTCTACTTAAAGAAAAGCCACCTACATAAGACAAAAACAAAATGACATCAATAACTTGGACAGTTTAAACAAAACCCTTATAACCAGCTGATCGATCTGTAGAAATCCAGTTGTGGAAACCGGTAGGTATGTGCAAAAGAGAGGAGAGGCCATTATTCCAAGGGGTCACCTACAGTGTGGAAGAAGAAAACCCTGATCAAACAGTATTTCTCAATGACCTTAAGATCCCTGGGGTCTTGGGAGAGATGGGTCCTGTTCTGGAAGGAGGAAAAAGGCTCCTGAGCGCATTCACTTAGTACTGGAATTGCAAAGGAACCATCCACACTTGGGGAAAGCTGCCCGCCACATTTCCCAGCTACATCATCAGTGCCTGTAAGAGCAGCTGCTGGAAGAGGGGAGCGAACCGTCTGTCCTGTGAGCAGCAGGACCAGGGACAGACGGAGGTACAGCCCTGGCGGGGGGGGGGGGGGTGATACACCACGGAGGCTCGGCGCCGACCACTGGCCTTTCCAGCCCGAAGGTTTGGTACATCTCTGTCTACCCCTAGGGGAGGAGGAGGTGAGGGAGAAGTTGAGAGGGCAGCCTGGAGGGGGAGGGGACTCTGCTCCTGTGTGTGTTCTATTAGGGACTGGCTTTGAGGTTAGGAGCCTCTGCATTCTGGAGCACAGGCTGGGCAGATCTTACTCTCCAGCTGCTGCTGCAGCTGCACCTTTGTGCTGAATGAATGCAGCAGCCATGGCTGCATGGCCCTGCCTCAGTGCAAGCCTCCTCCAGGGATGCAGGAGCAGCAGCAAGGGGAGCAAACCCAATATGCCTTTACCCAGGAGATTCTCACAGAGACTATGCTGCCTGGACACCTTCCTGTCCTCAGAACCTGAGGAACAATTGCTCTCTTAAGGATGAAATGTGTTCGATCTGCATGGAAGCAGTTTGTTCCAAAGACAACCAGCCAGGGACAGCCTGGTGGCCCCCCGAAAGTGTGCTCTGGTGCCCTCCTTGGCCTCACAAGGCCACTGGCTAGGAGAGGAGGAAAAATGTAACATCTTGGTGGAAACCAAGATAGAAAATAAAATAAAATAAAATAAAATAAAAGCAACACAAAACGAGACATCTCAGAAAAAGGCAAGCTGTCTGAAATACGCAGAGAGGTGAGTCAGTGTTGCTTTGACCCCGGAATACAGCCTGGCTTCTCCCTGCATCACCTGGGTGTGGAGCCTGTGGCGTGGATGAGGTTACCAGTATCAACGGCCTATTGTCAGGTGCTGAGAAATGTGAGATGTATTCTTTTGTCTATATACACATATAAAAAATAAGAGTGAGGTAGATAAATGTTTGGGGGGAAAAAAACCCAAAAAATCAAAAACTGTCCCATCACTCATACACACACACACCCCACACACATACACACACCCTTTCCTTGAAATTTAAATTCATAATGGGGCTTCTCTACAGTGATTGAAACTGGCATCACAAAATAAATTAAAAGAAAACTCCTACATATAATACCTTCTTTTTTCTTTTTTAAAAGGGAACACACTATGGGATAGAGGCTAGAGAAAGCAGTGAGACAAACTGCTGACAAGCAAAAAAAGCACTACAGACTTTTTTTTGTGTTTAATCTTCAGTCACAACTAGCAATCACCGTATCCCAGTTTTGTTCTCACTCCTAAACATTTCCATCCCAGAAGCAACTCTTGTGCCGTCATCTCTCTGGTGAGAAGTGCTAAAAACAAAACAAAACTAAACAAGACCCCTGGGCCCCGAGGACCTGGATTCCTGGCCGAGGGAAAGAGGGCCAGCACCACAGCCCCGGTCCCCTGGCAGACAGCCCCGGTCCCCTGGCAGGGAGCAAAGGGGCTCTTGGGCCACCGTGGCGTCTGCGCTGCCCCGACCTGGCGCTCCAGCTGGCACAGCCCTGAGGATGCCGCCCTGGGCCAGCCTGGATCCCAGGGTCCCACTCCCTGCCAGTGCAAAGGAGGTCCCTTGGGATGTTCTGGTTCCAAAGACAGGTCGGTCGGTCGGTCTGGTGAGGGTGCTGGCGAGGGCCACAGCAGGGCCTGCCGGACCACGCTCTGCTGCTCCCTTGGACTCAGCAGCTGTTTTTCATGGGATGGAAAGATTAAATAGCCATTAAAAAAAATAGTAATCCAAATGCCTAGTGTCTGCAGTTAACACTGCTGTTGTACCCAAGAATTAAAAAAATATATATATGTGTGTCACAACCTAAACAAAGGCAAGGGAAAGAGAGGGTGAGGCTTCTCAACCACGGTGGAGTGGAAACACTGAACAAAGACGTGTGAAGTATTTAACCTTTGTTTTTCTGACCTGAGTTTGTATCATGTCTTGCACTGTAACAGACTCCAATGCTGTGAGGGCGGGCTGGGGAGAGGACCACGGCCCTCTCAGGACGGGTGCCCGGCCTTCTTTCCGCCTCGTGCCCTCACCAGCCTCGTGCCCACAGAGCCTACGGGTTAGAAGACAACTAAAGGGGGAGGTGGGAGCAGGGAGGGGGGATGTATTTATAAAAAGGCATCAAACAGTTCATGGCAAATTATGTCGTAGAAGTATCAATTACCGGGAAAAGAGGAAGAAAGTCACGCACTCTAGTACAAAGCATAAGAAGTTTCGTGGAGTGAGCAGAAAGGGGAGAGGGTGGACCTGAAGGTTTTCATAGATTAAATCCACAAAGATCAAGAACAAAAAAAATAGCAGCTTTTTTTTTTTTCTGTACAGACGTATAGATGAATATCTGAACCGTAAAAAAGTTATAAAAGTGACATTAAAGACGATGTGTATGCAAATGTTTCATGGTCTAACATAGAACTGTAAGACCCATGAAGAAGTCCTAGGAACAGAGAAATGTCAACAAAGCTTAGAATGCTTGAATCCATTGACTGCTTTTCTTCTTACTGCTGTTGTGGTGTTTGAATTTCTTTCCTTGCAAACCTGCATCAACAGTTGGGCTGAGTCCCTGGAAACCCCTTCCCATCTGTGTCCTTGGGGGTGGGCGGGGGAGCTGGGGCTGGGAGAGAAGCAGGCATGGGGCCCCTTGACTCAAAGCCTGTCCACCAGGCTGCTTCAGGGCCTATGGCCACCAGATTCTTGGGGGTTGGGCGGGGGTGGGGAGGCAGGGCAGGGAAGCCAGTTTAGCTTCTCCCCACCTTCACTGAGAGAAAGTCCCACTGTGTCCAGTTCCCCCAAATAATAACCTAGTCAGAAGCAATGAGACCTGTGTGCATGTGGCCTTGAGAAGCACAGCAGGGGCAGTCAGACGGACGGAGCGTGTCGCCAGCGTGTCTCTCAAAATGGAGCAACCAGATGCCACGCTCACCCATGCCTCCGGACACAAGGAATCAGCGCAGGGACGGTGAGGGAGAAAGTTCAGGATTTTGGCAAAATTAGGCAGCGTTAAAATGGTAACAGCCTTGGATGAACGATGGCCCTTTGTAAATTTCATGTCCCTAGAAAGGTGAAAGATAAAGGTAAAAATTTCCATCTCCACGTGTTTTTTTGTAGTGACCTACGGTGTCGGGCGGGTGTGTACAGGGGTTGGATGGGGCCACAGGAACAGCCACTTCCTCAAACTGATAAAAAAAAGGGCTTCCCAGCTGGACTTACGGCAATTATTTTTCCATTATGAAGCAGAGAGAAAGAGAAAAGTGAGAGTGAGAGAGAGAGAGAGAAAGGGAGGGAGAGAGAGAGAGGATGAGGAAGGACAGGGACAGAGTAAGGAGACTGGTTCTCAAGTGCTCTGTTGCTATTAAGTGTTGTCATTAAGGTTCTTAAAGGCCCATGTCAGTTAAGGGTTTGGGTAGGGAATAAAAAGCTGCTTGCATATTGAAAAAAGGAACATCCCAAATGTGTTTACTGCAGAGAAGCTGTCTCCCGCGGGCAGCAATGGCAGTTCTGAAGATCCACTGAGGTACAGGAGGCTTGTGAATAGATTGTTAAAACTTTCTCTCTCCCCCCACCCCGCTGAGCGTGCACACACGTTACTGTTTGCACAGATTCAGGATCCAAGGATCAGCAGGTCGAAGACTGGGGCAGCGGCAAGGCCCGCTCGTTCTTGCGGCCACCGTTCATGTGTGCGTAAGGCTGTCTCTCATCGAAGCTGGCACGGAGCACCAGCACTCCAGGGCCGGGGCCGTTCTCGGCCTTGTGTCCTGAGTGTCTGTCGGGCAGTGGCAGGGAGGACGAGGAGGCCGAGGGGTCCAGGGGGACGCTCTCCATGTTCTCTGGCTCCAGGTCCAGCTCCTCCGGCTCGGGCAGCTTGTTCTCCTCACTGTAGTAGAAGGAGACCTCCCGGAAGCCAGGCTCCATCTCGTCTTTGATGCTGCTGATGATCTCCAGGAAGGAAGGCCTCATCTTGGGGTTGTACTGCCAGCACATGCGCATCAATTCAAACCTGCAGCCAAGACACATGGGAGGGGGGTCCAAACTGGGAGGGCGTATGTGGCCAAGAGGCTTCATGGGCCGCCTGCAGTGGTTTCCCACCTATAAGTGTATGGTGGGAGCACTGAATACAACCCTACTGTCCCTCTCCGTCCCTGGCTTTCTGCCTGGATGGCCCAAGTGGCCTTCAGAGTCTCCTGTTTTACCTTGTATGGTTCCATTCACTTCACCCAGCACTACCACAGTACAAAACCCAAACTCTCCTTTCCCAAGAAGCACTAATCTAGGTCCACACTGTCCATCGTTACAGGTATTATTTATGGTGTCAGTGCTAAGAAATAAAAATAAGCAGTTTCCTATCTGAGACATCTCATGCAGCCACTGCTGAAACATCCTTTCCAGAATTAGAAAGCAGGAAACCCCCGGTTTCTAAGAAGGCTGATGAGTGACCGCAGCTTCCCCAACGCTCTCTCTCCAGGTCCCACCTGTTATTTCTAAGCTTCCTCCTGGTGCAGGGCTACCCCTGGCAGAGGACCAAAGGAAGAAGGCACCATGAGGCCAGGCTTGCAACACGAAGAAATACACACTCCGAGTCTGCTGCTGTCTCCATCTAGCACCTGCTTGCTCCAGCCCTGCACAGGCAAGCCCCAGCCGATGAGCCAGGCTATTCTGGACCAAACAAGAGGCCCAGTGTAGACCCGAAGCCAGATTCCAATGAGCCAGCAAGGAGAGCCCTGGGCACGAGTCCACTCCACAAGCAAGGACAGGCAGAACAGGATGACGCTTGTGCTGTGTCTTGGTCGCATTGGCTGGGCTCCGACAGCACCTGGGCTGCAAATATCTGTGAGGCCCTCAGAGTCGCATGGGACAAAGGAAGTCTTGCCAGCTGTGGCCAGGGCCCCCCACGAAAACAGTCAGCCACACGCGGACAAGGAAAGCCGGCTGCCCTGACCCAGGAAAGGCCCGGGCTTTGACAAGCTTCCAGAACGCAGAAAGACCCAGGTAAACAGACTTTTGGGGCAAAAAGGTACAGCTGGCTACCGTCCAGGGCTGGCCATAGTTCTGAGGAGTGACCGCCAACAGCCCTCTTACGTGAGTGTGAAACCAAAGTGCCTTCCTTTCCACCTCTGTTCTCACCAGGAAGCTCTCCTCTTTGTTTTAAAATTCTTCCTAAAAGAGATGCTTTTCCATAAAAGTGGCCACATAGAACTCTCCACATCTAGGAAACTCAAAGCACCCAATGGCATCTAGCCTCCTGTCAGGCCGGCTGCTTAACTACGGACCACCTGCCCATCTCTGGCTTTCAGGGAAAATTCCAAGGGGAGGCCCCTGATGTAAGATAAGCCACTCGGCCTGGAAGCTGGCCTGCCAAGAGAAGGGCTCTAATGGCCACCTGGCAGCTTCCTTCAGATGGAGACGGTGCAACCTTGAGGGAGGGTGGGCCTAGGTGTGAGGGAGAGCCATCCAGAATCCACTAGAATTCAGCGTTCTGGAGCCTGGGGGCCCGCATCTCCACAGGGTCTAACCCGGGGCTACCCACCTCTGCACATCAGCTGCACTGGCATGGGCCATGCTCCCTCATTTCCATGTGGGCTGCAGCTGCTTTCCAGTTACAACTACCAGCTGAGGACATTAGGACAGAGACCGTGGCCTGCAAGTCTAAAAATGCTTATTTACCATGTGGCCCTTTACAGAAGGAAGGTTGCGGGTTCCTGTTCTGGGGGTAAAGGAATTAGACAAAATATGAAGCACCCCACAGTATGCTTCTTAGATATGGAGAGTTCCATGTGGCCACTTTTCCGGAAAAGCATCTCTTTAGCCACAATTTTAAGTCTACCCCACAGTAGAATGCCGTGTGTACACTAGGTGCCAGGCAGTGAGGCAGTTATGTGTGTGAACTGATGAAGTCCTCACGAGTTTGTGAAGCAGGTGCTGACTATAATATACACCCATGTTACAGACGGGGGAACAGAAGCACTCAGACATTAAATAATTTGTCCAAGGTTACGAAAGTCATGAGGGTGGAGCTGGGATGGAGTTCTCTGTGCAACAGGATGACTACACTTTGATTGCCAACGACCCCGGAAAAAGGAATTTTCTCTTAATCTAAGTAAGAGTAACCCTGGGCCCACCAGGAGACCCTCCCTCGCCTAACTGTCCAAGGGACAGTCACAGATGTCACAGGGATGTGCTTTGCAGTGATAAAAACTGGCAGCTTGATGACAAATAAGCCTGCCTTTCCATACTCCCCATCACTGCCTAAGAAAAACGATCGGGGTTAAAAAGAATTAAAATAGGCCATAATGACATGAAATGCATCTTCATATGGCTGGGATGTGAACTCCTCTCCGGCTGCCTTGCCCCTGGGCAGAAGTGTACCCGGGCCAAGAGCATGAGATGTGCTTGGCTTTGTGCCCTGTGGCCGGGGACTGAGGAGGTGCCACTGGAGGGGCAGCGAGGCAGTGACATCAGCACAAACAAGCCATGTGATGCCTCTTTTAAACCATTCCAGAGTAACAACCCTTCCAGGGCTGCCCAAAAAAGGAAGTCTTTTTTGCTCTGTGGGATTCAAGACCTTGTTTACTATTTCCACACATATAAAAAATCTCCATTAGACTCTAGAAGGATGTGTGAGCTGATAAAACTCATCTTTTAAAAAGCACCTTTTTTTTTCCCCCATGGGTCAGCTCTGGCAAGTCTGGAGCCATCCTTGTCGAATGCTCTCCCCTTTGGGGGACACATACCCGGCCCTTCTGGAACAGGGACAAGACTCAAATGGAATTCCTGCCCTGCTGGGAAGCAGCCTCCTGGGGGCCAGCTGTGCGCCCTGGAGGCTGGGTGATGGTCAGCAGGATGAGCACACGGAGGTGCCTCTGTATTCCCATTCCACTCTTGGCCCTGATGTCCTGAACTGGACAGGCTGTGACCTGTGTGGGATGTCAGCAGGCCATGAGGCACCCGCACATTCCCGCATGCTGCCGACGCTCACCGGATTCCCAGAGGACCTGCAGGGCTGAATGTGTCTCTCTCCCGGCAGTCCTCAACAGTGAGGGTTGTCTTAGGAACCATGCCTCAGCCAGGAGGACATGGGGCCTGTGTGCCTCCGTGAGCTCACTGGGAATAACTGAGCAGGAGCGCCCTTCCTGCCTGTTTGGATCCCACTCAAGCACTCGATTCCCGCAGAACCAAACCGGGATTCCAGCAATGGGAAAAACTACAAAAAACCATCAGATTTCACTAAGTTTGTTTCAGACTCATCTGTTAGTTGATAATGCTCCAGGCTAAAAGTTCAGATTCCCTCCTGAATCCTGCAGACCGAAGACATCTCTGGCAAGAGTCCGGACACGTGGAGCTGTGGAAGTGTTACCAGCAGAACAAATGGCTTCCTAGCCCAACTTTTCCACGGCTGCGTTCACACCTCTGTCCCGGCCCTTATCCCGGAGCATCAGAGCTGGGACCTTTTACGTCACTACGTTTCATGAAAGCCAGGGCCACTCCTGGCTCATCTGTGTGACCTCAGCGTCAGCATGCACCCAGAGGGGCTTAACAACATCTGTGGCATAAATACTGAGATCTGGGCTGAAATAAGGCTGAGGATGGGCTTTGTCATCAATCTAAAGTACAGACCCAACAGGGAACCACAACCCAAATCTGATGCCGTGGTACTTGCTGAGTCAATTCACACTGAGTCATGGCGTTGAGACTCAGACCTCAACACCCCGTTGCTTGGGGACCATGGAGTCCTTCCTCTAAAGCCAGAACACTCGGTGACACTGAGGGGTGAGAATCTGGCTACTTCCTGATGGTGAGCTCCAGTTCACCTGCAGCCACTGAGCTCCTTCAGCCCCCCAATGTCACCAGGTAGTGCCTGTTCAGATCTCAGAACCACACAACTCACACAATTTCTCAACTGGGACCTGGCAGAGGTTTCAGGGCAACTCGCAAGGGCTCACGGACTCTCCTCTCTGGGATAAACAGAGGCCATTCTTTCATGTCTTGTAACAACAGAACTCCCATCCCAGAACCCTCCTTTCTCACGTAAGCTCATCAGTAAACTCAGAATGACAACATGGACACTCCCTATGAAACCAAATTGCCTCCTTTCATTCTACTTTTTTCTTGGAAGGGAGAAAAATTCTCGATGGCAAAGCAGAAATGCCTCCTGAAGTAAACACTTAATGTCAGAGTAACCGCTTTGAGTAAATTTCCTTGTCACTCTATGCTGGGAACAGGAAGTGCCCTGCGTTTCCCATGGCAGGTAGGCTGCATCCCAGGCAGCTTACATTAATATTAAGACCCCAGTTACCTGGAGGTGGACCAAGTAAGAATCCCACAAGTCTCTTGTAGATAAACGTTTACCCGAGTCAAAGAGAAAGCACAAAAACAACACACTCTCCCTCACCCACCCCAAACCACAGAAGCAAAACTCACACCTGCTTTCATGGGCTGTTTCTAAGCTTGCTAAAATACCACCAGTTCTAATATTAGCCTAGATTCTGGCACTGTACCTTTATGCAAATTCAGTGGTCGTCAGCCCTCATACTCCATGGCTTATATTCAGACTCGAAAGCATGATTTTTCTTATAATGGCTGACAAGAAAACAGTGGCTGTACTACTCAAAGTGTGGAGCGGATGGTCACCTGTGAGGGGCACTGGGGGGGTGTGTGTGTGTGTGTGTGTGTGTTGGTGGGGAGCAGGGGAGTAGCCGTGGTCCTCTCCCTCGTGTCCTGGAGCTCACATCCCCATGTGATTGACTCCCACATGGTGTAACCTGAAGGAGAAGGTGGGAGCTTCAGAGTGTGACTTCTGAGGTCTGGTCAGAAAGGACGTTGTGCCTTCTGCTCAGGTCCTGGATCTTTTACTCTAGGACACAGCAGGCAAACTATGTACCTGTGGGTAAAATCTGGCCTGTTGCCTAGTTTTCCAAGGTCTATGGCCTAAGAATGGTTTTCATGTAAATGGCTAAAAGAAATTCAAAATAAGAATATTTTGTGACAACACAAGAGATTATGTGGAATTCAAATTTCAGTATGCAAAAATAAAATTGTATTGGAACACAGCCACACTAGCTTATATGACACCTCCAGCTGTGTTTGTTCCACAATGGCAGAGTCAAGTAGTCACAGTCAAGGTCGTATGGGCCCATACAGTCAAAAATATTTTTTAGCTGGCCTTTTAGAGAAAGAGTGTGCCGAACTCTGCTCTAAGAGAAGCCAGCTATACATCCTGAGACACTCGGGCAGTGCTATGGAGAGGCCCATGTAGAACAGGGTGGTTCATGCAGGGCATACTACCTATGCAGCAACACCTTGCAAGTGGGTCTGCCTGCCCCAGGCAAGCTGTCAGATGACTGCAGCCCCAGTGGACAGCTGGGCTGCAACCGTGAGAAGGGCTCCAAGCCAGAGCCAGCCGGCTATGCCGCTCCTGCATTCCTCACCTTCAGAAACCTCTGAGTGATAATACATGTTTACTGTTGCTCTCAACTAGTAGGTTTTGGGTAGTTCGTTATACTGCGATAAAAAACTAACACAGAGAGAAGAAGAATTTCTATACTGGGTAAGAAAAGGTACTAAGTGGTCTTTCGAGTCTCTTCCAAGTTTGGATTGTGGAGTTCTGAAGAGGCCATGCTAGCAAGTTTGCTTGATGAGGGCTCCAGGAAACCCAGTGCTTCTGCATCTGTAGGTGCCACCCTCAGAGAAGAGGAGCCTGCCATCACTGGCACAGGCCCAGGGCACCAGCCAACTTTCCGGTTCTGGCCCTGCCTCGATAGGACAATGGGGACCCCGACATGTGCTAGCTGTGCGAGGGTGATGCCTTCACTCTGGCTTTCCCTGGCATTCTTCCTGCAGCCACCTTTCTGAATTCCACACACAGTGTCCATTGCCTGGGATACACTTTAGCTGAACCTATGTTCAGAAGCAGCAGCTAATTGAGCATGACGCCCAGCCAACATACTCCCAAAGCACAGGGGTGTGTGTCTAGTCTTCCCCACCCCATGCCCTCCAGAGGCAGGCCATTTACAGGAGCTTAGGGATTCAGTATTTGTAGCAACACTCAAAGTGCTATGAAACAAAAATAGCACCTTGATTGTTTGATAAGGACAATGATTTCTGAGACTATGGAATTCTAAGATGCCCCCCAAGATTGCTGCCCCTGGTGTAAATATCCCATATAATCCCCTCACTTGAGTATGGGTGGGACTTGTCAACATGAGAGGATACTTCACTCCTCTAATTAGGCTTCTAATCAGTTGACTGAATCACTTAAAGGGGAGAGATTATCTCGGGTAGATCTGACCTCATCAGGTAAAAAACCAGTAGAAGCAGTAGAGAGCGATCCTCTTATCAGTCTTGAAAAAATAGACTGCTGTTATGAGCAGGCCTACGGAGGGTGTATATGGCAAGGACTGTGAGTGGCCTTGGCCTCCAGAAGTTGAAAGCAGTACCCAGGTGACAGGTGCCAAGAATATGGGGACCTCAGTCCTGCAACTGCAGAACGAGGTGCCTTAAGATGGCCCTGAGCCTCAGGTGAGACCGCAGCCCCACTGACATCTTGATTTCTGCCTCCTGCTACTCTGAGCTGAGAACAAGAACACCTGCATCTGGATTCCTGGCCCACATTGTACGGGACCAAATGAGCAAAGCTTTTGTGGCTGCTGGAGCCCGCATTCCCTCCTGTTCACCTGACACACGTCTGGTTTGTATTTATCATCCCGCCACTGTGGACCCAGCCTGAGTCTGTGCTGGCTCCAGGTGGGTGGATGGGTGAGAGGTAGGAGCTGGGTGCCTTCATGCAGACATAACAGCCCAGTAATTCCTCAGGATCCTTTCCAAAGTGAAGCCAGGCCTGTCCTGAAAAGCATTTCTGGAAATCTCCTGAATTGGTCTTGAGACACTAGTGGGAGCCTACCTTTATGTTCACCTATGGAGATCCAGAACAATCTCTGAAGCCTGCCTTAAAGTGCATGTCAAAAGCAAAGTCATTGTTCCCAACCTGTACCTGTTGTGCACCTGACGACTGAACCAGAACACCTTCACCCCCTCCTCAAACTCGTTCCAGGAAAGACAAAGAGGCCTCCCTGCTCCAGCAGCTCTGACCTCCACTGAGCCACCAACAGCACCATCCATGGACACAGAGTAAGTCCTCCACCAAAAGTGGGGCTTCTCCAGGGAGTGCTGAGTAGTGAGGCCTCACCATCACTGGGAGGCATCACAAACTCTCTCTTGTCATCTGACAAAACTTAGGACTAAAAGCTGCAAAGTGTTTTTTCAAAATAAGTGGGGTTGCCAGGTGTGATGGCTCATGCCTATAATCCCAGCACTTTGGAAGGCTGAGGCAGGCAGATCATCTGAGGTCAGGAGTTCAAGACCAGCCTGGCCAATATGGTGAAACCCCATCTCCACTAAAATTAGCTGGGCGTGGTGGTGGGTGCCTGTAATCCTAGCTATTTGAGAGGTTGAGGCAGGAGAATTGCTTGAACTCGGGAGGCAGAGGTTGCAGTGAGCCAAGATCAGGCCAATGCACTCCAGCCTGGGAGACAGAGCGAGACTCCAGCTCAAAAAAAAAAAAAAAAAAAAAAAGTGCAATGAGAAGACAAATTCACCAGCGCTTCGCAGGGATGTCAGTTCACACACACTCCAGGTCCACACTGGTCAGTGGATGAAGCTCTGGAGAGCATGTTACTTGGATGGTTTATGACTTTTGTGAACACTTAACAGAGAAGACATGTGGGGCAGGGTTCAGAAGACACTAAGCTGACCCTACATGGCGCATGCTGGAGTCCTGACCATGCAGCTCTGTGTACACTCACTGCAGCAGTTCTCTCAGGCCTGCCAGAGGTGGGGCGGGGGGCTCTTGAATTTGACTTCAGAGTAGTAAAAGTGTTGTGTTGTTGCCTTCTTTAAAAAGAAACAAAACCTCACATGGAGAGGATGAATAAGGATGGATTACTCTGGCCAAACATTTCAGAGACATTTGGCCTGAGAAACTATAGTGCGAACTGCAAGTCAGAACGAAAGCGTTAAGGAATATAGGGTAGAATTAAGGTGCCCATGGAAAGGCACAGGTCTACCAACCAAACTCAGCTCCTTCCATGAGGACGAACCTTTCCTCAGCCGCGCCTGGCCAGAGAGGCGAAGGACCAGAGAGAATGGCTTTAATCTAATCCCTGTGACCAAGGAAAACCGGCATTTGAGAAGAGAAATCAGAGGAGCACTGAGGGGGCCCAGTAAGTACGTACAGCATGTCGGGGCAGTTGTCTGGCTTGTCCAGAAGGCCGCCCTCCATGACGAAGCGAAGGACTTGCTCGTTGGACAAGCCCTGGTAGGGCTGCTCGGCCAGTGTGGCGATCTCCCAGAGGACAACCCCAAAGGACCTGCAGGGAGAAAAAAACTGTGAGGAGCTTGGAAAGGGATGGACTGAACCATGCTGCCCCTTACTTTCCAGCACTCTTACATCCTGAGCAGAGAAACTGTCCTTACTATGGTGACAGTGATTGTCAGACAGCGAGCCAGGCCCTGGGCTAAGTGTAGGACATCATCCTCCCTTTGTTGCTGCTAATGTTCCCCATAGACTAAATTCAGCCCTGGTGGTAGAGCTAATGAAGGTGATGGTGAGGGCACTTTCAGCATCCCTTGCATGGTCAGGAAGCCCCTGATCTGTGCTTTGAACGCAGAGTATACTGGGTTCGTCATCTACCTAGTCCCAGCCATTTACCTGGCAAGGCAGTACCTCCCAAACTGGCTTTAACCCAAAATGAATGACATTGTTGTCCAAGCCCCAGCATGGACATTGACTTGGTAGCCTCGAATGAGGCCTGGGACAGTCAAGCTTTACCAAGCTCCTCAAGTGATTTTTATAATCAGACAATTTTGGAAACCTCTACCCAAGTGGTTCTCACTGCTGGCTGCACAGGAGAATCTCCTCGGGAGGTTTTCAACAGAGGCCTGGACACCCAATAGAAACTCTGATTTGATTGGTCTCGGGTGAGGGCCTGGGTCCTGGAATGTTTAAAAGATCTATAGGGATCTTGAGGTCCAGTTGGGCCAAGGGAGAAGAGAATTCCTGCTGCTCCCCCACCTCCAACAAAGCTGCGGAGCTGCTGGCCTGGAGGGCCTGTGTCATAGGTGGGGGGACCAGGGTGGGCTGCACTGGCTGGTAGGGGGTATCATGGAGAAAGAATCCTTAAGCAGAGAAGCTGGCTGAGGAATAACTTTGTAGTGAGCAATTCTGCCATGCATGCAGCTTTGTCAGTTTAGAAGATCAAACTGGCCAGGCGCAGTGGCTCAAGCCTGTAATCCCAGCACTTTGGGAGGCCGAGACGGGCGGATCACGAGGTCAGGAGATCGAGACCATCCTGGCTAACACGGTGAAACCCCGTCTCTACTAAAAAATACAAAAAAACTAGCCGGGCGAGGTGGCAGGCGCCTGTAGTCCCAGCTGCTCGGGAGGCTGAGGCAGGAGAATGGCGTGAACCCGGGAGGCGGAGCTTGCAGTGAGCTGAGATCCGGCCACTGCACTCCAGCCTGGGTGACAGAGCAAGACTCCGTCTCAAAAAAAAAAAAAAAAAAAGAAGATCAAACTACTGGAAAACAAATTAAAACAGATAGTACACGTACACAAATTTCAGACAGAATGTTAAAAAAGACAATGCTGGAATCTGCAAAACAAATGTGCCCTCCCAGGGCAAATCTCCATAATTCACAAATTCTCCCTGGCCTGTGTGCCTTTCCACGTGGTTCCCTTTGGCGGAGTAAAGTAGGCTACTCATCAGCAAGTAGGGGCAGGGATTCTAGCTGGACCTGTCCTGGGCTACAGGTGCTGGTCAACCCTCATGGAAGAACCTGGGGCAGGAGATTTTCCACCAAGAGTTCTTGGGACCTTGACCTTGTGCCCAAGTCCACAGGGCCCCTGACTGTATGAGAATGTTTTATTCACTGCTTCAGCTACTTTCGGTGAATCAAAAATTTTTGTACAAATTGATACTAAAAGTAGATGCTAGACAGAAATAGAATCTTAGCAATCAGAGGACAGACCAACCCAAGGTCCTTTTTAACTGCAAGTGATCAACAAATGCTGTCATCTTCAGGTTGTACAAGAGACCCAGAGGCCACAGCGCAGCTTAGAGAGGCCTGGGCCCAGGGGAGAAGGGGCTCTCCCTCAGCTTTTGCAGGAAGCTCTGCCTTCTGCAACCAGCCCAGCCATACGGGCAGCATGCCTCAGATGCCAGTGGCAAGTAGGACCCACACATCTGAAATGCAGCTTGGCACAAGAAATGACTAGCTCTCCAACAACAAAAAATTAAAAATAAAATAAAAAAGAAGAAATGACTAGCTCTCTGCTTTTGCTGACTGCAGGCTGGTCTGGGAAATGGCCTGAGGATGTGGCTCCCTCCCAGGCCCACTTCTCCTCTTGCCCCACGTGCCTTTCCTGGCTGTGTCACTGGCTTGCAGGCAGCCAATTCTCACGGCATGGCTCCCACCTTGGCCTTCACAGCCCAACTGCTCCATTCCAAGTTCCCGGTTACTGGGCTACCCACAAACTCAGTGCGTCTCACACTGAACTCTGATTCGTGCCCTGTTCTTCCCCGGCTTCCCTGCAGCTGATGCCTATTCCACCTGAGCAGTCTGCCTGCTGTCACCCATGCCCTTGGCATCCTCGGAGTCCCACTGCGACCTGTCCACTCAGGCTCACATCTGTCCAAGGTCTGGCACCCTCCTTCTGTCCCCCAGAGCTCCCTCAGTGTGCAGGATCCTCCTTGCCTTGCCCACCACACCCCTCTCTTCTTTGGTTACAGTGTCTTGCTCAACGCAGCCGTATATTCCGGCTAACAAGAACTTCTTCAAGCACAGCTCTAATCACCCTCTGGTTCAGAAACCTTAACAGGGCTTAAAGAATTAGTCCAGAATCCCTAACACAACAGCTGAGGCCTGGCTTGATCTCTCTGCAGCCTAAGTCCCCCAAGGAAACCCCACCAACCCCATCTGCAGCAGGCGCTCCCTACTGCCATGCCTGCCCAGTATTCTCACTGCCAGGAACCCCCCACCCTGCCCTGCCCCGCTTCCTAGTGCTCCTTTTGTGACAATCCATACTTAGGGTGCCTACACAACTTCATCTCTTCTGTGAAGGCTTCTGCAACCCCAAACTGTCAGAATTGCTTCCTCTTCTCCACAAGACTTTATCCTTCAAGGACCAGGACGACGACGACATCATCATCATCATCATCATCATCATCATCATCATCATCATCATCCTCCTCCTCCTCCCTGCATGTTCCACACCCCCTAGAGCCTTATCATCACACACAGGCAACAATACAGGAGGTAGCAGACCCAGCTCTCCACAAATGCTTGTCAAGTTGAACTGCAAAGCCTATCTCCTGAGCAACTCTTGTCTGAGGTCAGCATCACCTGTCACCGAGGGCCACCAAGTGCTGGAGTCTGTCGTCCTTCACAGCTTAATGTGACAACTGCAAGGTGTGGAGACTGAACCATCTCTACCCAATACCAGTTGCCACAGCAGCCATTTAAACCTCTATTCAGGTACCACAGACTTCTCTAGACAGACCTTACCTTACAGATGGAGCAACCGAAGGCCAGAGAAGCTGAGGTTTAACACAGCCACACAGCCAGTCAGAAGCACTGAGAAATATGCAACACTTCTGTGGTTTTCAAAGCCGGTATTTTCCTATGTGGTGTTGGCTATTCATGACTTCATATAAAATCAAGTCTTCCATTTCATGGACAGGTTTAATCTTCAAACATTAGATGTCTCTGTGTAAAGCCCTTTTTAATTAGGAATCTTGAGGTTGTCTCCCCAGGGAGCAGACCTGCAGCTGTAAGTCCCCCCACAATGCCCGTGCTGGATGGAGGCAGCATTCAGTAACTATACTTCCCCACACTAGGAGGCGATGGTAGCAATGGCCCACTCACCAGCAAATTAAAACCTACAAAGAAATCCACATTCCCCACAGATGGTAATTCGCCATGAAAGAAGCAAATAACCTTGGCTATTTGTGACTATTTGGAAAGCTTCTTAATAAAAAATAAAGATTATGTGTTGGGTGATCCAGATGCTCAGGAAGAAGACGCAGCTCTAGGCTGTGGGGTGCAGTTCCCCAGTCCTTTGCCTGGTTTGCTCCATGCCTAGAGGGCACCCTTGTCATTTCAGAGGGACAGGTGCTACAGGGAGCTGCGGGGAGAGCAGCTACAGCGCCCAAGGGCCTGGGAATGAAGTCTTGGAAGACAGCAGGAAACCTGGAGGTTTTCTGCCCAGAACAGACACACCTCCTTAGATGATTCCTAGACCTATCTTATCAAGAACAGAGCAAGGTATGCAATTGTGCTACAGAGAGAAGGTCCAATGGGTGTCACACAGAGGCTGACGCAGCAGAACACGAGGGACTTGCCTAGAACAAGGACGTCTAAAGCATGAGGCTGGCCTACCTCTGTGAGGAAGTGAACATGGAGTCCCTAGAAACCTCTTAGCAGAAGCTCAACCACCAGCTGTCAAAGATGCTGTGGGTGCATTGGGGACTGCGCCTGACTGCAGGGATACATCCCAAATCCTAAAATTCTGGGGTCTCTTCCACAAAGTCAAATAAATTTGTGTTTCTTTCTAGATTTTTAACTATTTAGGAATCATTGCTTTGTGCTGTTGAATGCAATCTAAAATCATTTCCATTCTTTTGAGAGGGACAGATTTAGTTCAGAGTCTGGACAGCTGAGAAACCTACTCCAACGCCCTAGCCTTCCTGACCTGTGCTATTCTCAAAGCCTGTGTTAAAAACCAAACAAAACCTGAAGCACAGTCAATGCCTGAACATTTCATGGAATGAATACCAAACGCCTATTCATGTTTATACGTATCTTTTCGTATTGGTTCATAGTAGTTATGTAGTCAAATGGACAGAAACTGGCATTGAACACGCCCCATGTCCCTTTGTTGCTGCTTGTAGCAATAACTGCTAGTCAGAATTTGGGTAAAATTTGCCTGAGAGATATTAACAACACTTTATTGTTCTATCCTGCTTCTGTTCTCCCTGGCTGTATAGTTTTCTATTTTATTATACTACAAAGCTGACCTCCAAGCTTTTGGAGGCACAAAGCCTAGAATAAACAGATGCATGCACGTACCCAGGCTTGCCCTCTCCTCACCATCCCAATCTCTAAAAACCATGCAGAGCACTTTGCTTTGACAGTAAAGAGATAACCATCTTGGACAAGCTGATTGCAAAACAGATCTCATACTTGAGCTCAAGAAGCAATTATGCTTTGCCAGGTCATATTCAAATGCTATTTCCAATTTGCACCTGTCTTCAAAATAAGATCCAAGGCCCTTGAACTGTGAAAGGTTTACGAGGTTAAAAAAAAAATATGTCAGTCACTATTGAAATAGTTCCTCTATGCGGTCATCCAGACTGTTGGAGTAAACAACTACCATTTCTGTAACACAACAGCAACGGGATCCCCCCAGAGGAAAGCCAAGACACTAGCTGACATTCTAGAAGGTGCCTGTGCCAGGGCCTCAGCCTGCCAATAACCTCATTTGTATTTCAGAACCTGACCGCCTCTCTGCAACGTTGCCAAGGAACCACAATAAACAATACTACCTAGAGGCCTCTGATCCCTCGGCCGATGAGCTTCTGCTAGAAGACACTGTTTACAATTAAGGGAGACATTTTGCTTCCCATAACCATCCCTGGGTCAGCAACGGTGGATGCCCACTGAAAGACAGACAGCAGATGGGACCAGCAGGAAAACACAATCAGGACTCATAAGCTTTGGGTCTAAATAAAGCACTGTCTGCAATCTGAGGGTTAGATTAGGTGAGGCAGACATACAGACAGTATCTGTTTATTAAAGAGGAAAAGAGAAAGAAGGCAGGCAGGGGAGAAACAAAAAGAGATGATGGCTTCTGGCACATCCCAGCTCCTGGAAACATAATTGGTGTCCACTGAAGATGGAAAGAAATGCTGGTCCCACAAATTCTTTAAAATCCCACAAATGCCCTTCTGCCCTTAGCTAGCCCACTGACAACAGGAACACCTCAATGATGAAGAAGCGTGGCTCACACAACACTGAGCTAAAGCTGGAAATGGGTAACAATGAACAGAGAAAGGTAAAGCCCTGGAGACTGAGCTGGTGGGAAGTGAGGAGGCTGGGGGGTCCAGGCTGGCACTGCAGTAAAGGCTGTCATACCAGACGTCCGAGTAAGTGGTGAAGACTCCATCCTTGAGGGACTCGGGAGACATCCAGCGCACGGGCAACAGCCCTTTCCCTCCTTTCCGGTAATAGTCTGTCTCATAGATATCTCGCGTCATCCCAAAATCTGTAAGGGGAAGAGAGGGTGCAGAGTCACACGCTGGAGCAGGCACCACTACTGTCGCAGCAGAGGACCCTACACTCATTTTGTGTGGAGAGACATAAGGCAAGACACAGACACGTCCCACTTTAAGGCAGCCAAATATTAGGGTTTGCAATTTTATAAGGTGGAGACAGTAAGGGATGATTAATCACATGACAAGCAAATACCAAGCAATCTCCACTTTTAACATATTTATAATCTGATTCCCTTAAGAAGTTAATTCCTTTATTGCATTTAAATGGGAGGCAGGCTGAGTGCAGTGACTCAACACCTGTAATCCCAGTACTTTGGGAGGCCACGGCAGGAAGACTGCTTGCGCCCAGGAATTCAAGATCAGCCTGGGCAACATAGCAAGACCCTGTCTGTATAAAAAAATAAAAAATTAGCCACTTGTGAGTGATGGTGTGCACCTGTGTTCCAGCTACTTGGAAGGCTAAGGTGGAAGAATCACTTGAGCCCTGGAGGTCGAGGCTGCAGTGAGCCATGATCACAACACTGCACTCCAGCTTGGGTGACAGAGACCCTGTCTTGAAAATAAAAATTAAGAAAAACGGAGGCAGTGTAAAAATTAGAGTCCCACGATTTAAGAAAATATGTAGTACTGCAGAGACCAATGGTCATTTACACACAGTTTTAAAACCTGACCAAATAAACAGGAGAGTACAGATGCTTATTTACTTGGTAGCACTGCCCCATCATTGGAGAAAAGTAAATAATTTCACTGCTTAATAAGGGGGAAAATATTCAGAGTAACAATTCATGATGACAAAAGTACCCAGTAAGATGCCGAAGAGATGCTATTTACGAGGCCCCTGAAGCTATTACTCAATGTTTTTCAACATAATACTCCCACTCATTTTTGAAAATTTCTTCCATTTTCCATTTCTCCAGAAGATGCCACATAATGATGTTTGATGGCAGGCTCGCTTTATAATGCTAAATTATTGCTGCTTTGTCAGGTTTTGATTTTGCACTCAATCATACAACCTTTTCTTAACTGGACTCTGCCATTTCTCCTTCCCAGAAGAAAGGGCTTCTCTACTTTAAAATGCTCATGTATGTCTCTAACTCATGCCACAAAGAGGTAAGGCTACAAAAGCAAACACAAAGAGAACAAAGTTCCTTGGACTTGAACCAACATAATTTACTTGCGCTATGCTAAGAGCCCTCAAACTGCCTTTGGTAAAATTACTTGTCATATTTGTCATCCATGAGATGCTGGGCATTGGGAAAACATCTTGAACCCTTGTGAAGAATAAAAATGAAGTGCGAAAGTGTTATCTGTGAATTAATCCAGTCACATGCAAATAGGGGATTTGCCTTTACTTGCACAAAGTGGAAAAGGAATCCTACTAAAAAACACAAATGATCTTCCTCAGCATACATGAAAAGCTTAAAATTCTAGAAAGAAAAACCATGATCACACACAAAAAAACACTATAAATATGCCACATGGTTCAACAGCAAACATGATCCCTGCTGATTTGGATTTAAAATGGCAATTGGCACAAAAAACACCTCTCGCAGTGTGATGCACAGTGGGGAGAAACCGAGTTCCTCCCATGTGCCAGGAGGGTGGGAAGACGACACAGACAGGAACTGCCATCTGGAGAGGCCCTGCCCCGTGCCAGGCACATGCTGCTGCTTTCCTGTACCAAGTCCTCACAATCCCATGGGGTCTGTTACATTATCACCCTACTTCCGAGGTGAAGAAATTGAGGCTCCCGGGTTAAGGCACCTGGCCCAAGTCTCTCATCAATTAGTGACAGAACTGGCCCACCTCAGGCCCACCTGGTTCCCCAGTCCCTGTGTTCTCCCCTGTGCTGGGGAGCTGGCTGACATTTCCATGGGGACAATCTGAGTTCTACAGAGAGGGAAGGGGAAGGAGAAGGGGAAGAAGTGAGCTGGGTGCACGAAGGAAGCCCAGCCAGGGACACAGGCAACTCTTCCCCGGGAGCCCTGAGGCAGGACGGCCTCTCGGGACTCCTTTGCCTCTCTAAGGGCTGCCCAGCTTCACAGGGCACCAAACGTGAGGACACCACAACGTGCCAAACCTAGGTACGCACTCGTGGATCCTGAACAAGGAACTCTGATGACGGAGGGATGTGGGCTCTGGGACATGGCTCCGTTTCAATACCTCTAGCTCCTACAGAGGAAAAAGAGACACTCACTCCTACTTTAGAAACCATTCTCAGCCAGGCACGGTGGTTCACGCCTGTAATCACAGCACTTTGAGAGGCCGAGGCAGGTGGATCACCTGAGGTCAGGAGTTCAAGACCAGCCTGGCTAACATGATGAAACCCTGTTTTTACTAAAAATACAAAAAACTAGCTGGGTGTGGTGGCATGCGCCTGTAATCCCAGCTCCTCAGGAGGCTGAGGCAGGAGAATCGCTTGAACCTGGGAGGTGGAGGTTGTGGTGAGCCAAGATTGCGCCACTGCACTCCAGCTTGGGCAACAAGAGCAAAACTCCGTCTCAAAAAAAGAAACCATTCTCTAAAGGATTCTCATTGTTCACTAAAGGGGCTAAAACATTTCATTTAAAAATCACTACTAAAAGAAAAAAATATGTTACTAAAGGAAGGCGAACACTTCCAGAAAAGGCAGCTCAAGAACTAGACACAGAGGTCCATTTGAAACAGCTTCGTTTGGGTGTTAAATCTCCCCTGCAATTTCTCAGGATAAATATTTGGTATTTTTCTAAACTATCATCATATCATAGTGGGAAGATGAGAATCCTGGTAAAAGTAGTGGTTTCCTGAGCAGCCCTGATGTTATGTGTGTTTTATTAGGCAGATTAAAAGATCAAAGTAAAAACACAAACCTAAAGGCTGAAGTGGGTTTTAACCATTGCTCAGAAATTCAATTCAACCCCTTTTCTGGTGTGACAGTGGGTGATGGCAACAAGGGGGTCTAACCAGTAGGCTGGTCAGCTAAGAGCAGGACAGTAAGTGTTGTGAGAGAGTGGTCGAGAGCTTGGAGGCTGTCTGGCCCCGGCTGTGAAACCCAGTGAGCAGTGATCGTCCCTCACCTAAGGCACTGCCATGCCAGCTCCTGCCACTTCTCCTGCTCCATGCAGAGGCTTCAACATTAGGGCAGCTCACCTCTTAGAAAACAATGTGGACCCCTAGAAGGGGAGCAATGCTCCTTATAAGCTAGGAAAATTTGAGGGATGAATGCAAAGTTGGACAATGAGTTTTATTCCCAAGCCGAAATCTCCTGAAGACATTGTCTTGATTATTTCTGTAACCAATGCTAAGATGTGTTCTACCAAGAAATGCCTCAAATATCTGGAGAGGCAGCCTCAGGGACCACGCCCAGTAGCTGAACCACCATGTCCATGAGCGATCAGCACTGGGACTGACCACACCAGGTTTGTGACCATCAATTGGAGACAATCACATCATTCCCAAGAAAGAGTCCGTGCACTCAAGGGACACACTTTAGAAAACCTCTCCAGGGGCAGACTGATGCCAACAAGGTCCTCAAAACACCTGTGAGTTTAGTTCTTGCTCAGATCTGGAAAGCTAAGGACACACCTCCAATTTTGACTGTGAAATCCTCGGCTACCATGCAATTCCGGGCAGCAAGGTCTCTGTGGACGAACTTGTTGGCGTTGAGGTATGCCATGCCGTCTGCAATCTCTCCAGCCATCTGAATCATCTTGCTTAGGCTTGGAGGTGCTAGGACTGGATTATTCTGTTGGAGATTAAAAAAAATTCACATGAGAATTTTGGATTTTTTTTCTATGCCAATTTCCTTTCGAGGTTTGCAAATCATCTTTGTCCAATCTGGGCACCGTGGGTTGTTTATGCTAAGAAACCAGGACTTGCTCGGAAGGAACAAACCATCATGGAGAGCATGGCACCTGTTTGCTCCCGCAAGGTTATCTGCGCTTGCTCCCTGACCACATCACAGAGCTGCCGAGGGAAACACCAGTTTGCTCTCTCTAGGACCAGCGTTTTCTATTGTGGGTAGGGCAAAAAATTTTTTAAAGTGAAACAAGCAATATTTGGTAGTAAGGATTCTCAGTTACTCAAATTACTATTCGTTTATATGTTCCTTTTATTTCCATCACCAAAGTACAGGTAAGAGGAAGGAGAGCACGTTACAAAGGCTGTGTGGAAGTAAGCAAATGTGTTTCCAAATGGATATGGTATATTTTGTTTCCCATAAAAGCATCATTATAACTTATTTAATCCTTTTCTTTCCCTTTAACCTTCTTCTAAAATACAAAAATACCAGGATTACTCTTTTCACCTTACAATGTGGCATTATTATTTTCTGTGGGCATTATGGAAGACAAGTCCTTGACAACTGAAGTCCAGCTGCAGCTTATCTTGGAGGAGACCAGGAATAAGTAACATGGATAAGCATCTCCTATTTGCAGAGGACAGCAACATGCTGGCTTTGGAATTAAAAAGAATTACCCCTAAATAATACATCCATTTAGAAAAAAGCTTTATATAAAACATATGCCCAAGTTTCTCCATCCTAAAACAATCACTAGTCCCTAATTTTCATGCTACCTTTTACTCTCGCATATCCAAGTGCAATAGACTTTACCTTGGTTTTCTTGACCGCAAAGCATCTCACACAACACTGCAAAGCCACAGGGCTCTGATAGGTCTCAAACCTGTAGGCTGGCCACCGGATGAGCATGCCCAGGCTCTTCCACATGGGGTATCACGATGGTTTCACTGATTAGAAGATGACCTGGGGCCATGCACAGAAAGTACCCAGTGGTGCCTGGCACATAGTCAATGCTCAGTAGACGCTGGCTGTTGCCCTACGAGGTGCTAGTTTCTACTGAAAGCTAGTATTTGGAATCAGTATAACAACTCCTCAGTACTTCTGGGTTGGTTCTCTACACTCAGAGACACAAACCTTTGAATTTTGAACAGGCTGTCAAAGCTGTCTCTTGGTGACTTAAAATACTTATCACGTGGTTATCTGGGAAAGTGACATTAAGTTAGTGGGGGTAAGTCCAAATCACTACTTTTTAGGGCTTTAGATATGTGTGGTGCACTAGGAAATATGCATGTGAAATGTAAAGTTTATGCTCACAATACTTGAATATTACAATATGACGTATATGTGTTATGAAGTGGTCATTTATAATCGCTGTGAACAACAGAATCAATAAAAGCACTCAACTTTAAGCACAGAGAAAGAGAGAGGGCTGAAATTTTGTCAGTTTATGGTGTTGCACTGCCATTCTTTCATTCGTCTTAGCAGAAATCTTTAATTTGGTGAGAGCTATTTAAGGCAAGTATACACATACACGTACGCTTAGTGAGATAAGTGAGTGAATCTTGGTCGGGGGAGCAGACTGAATATAATGAAACTGCAGGGTAAGCACACACATTTTAATACTTGACATGAGCTAGAAAAAAAAATTTAAATCTGACCAATCTAAAGGTGAATTTTAGTTCTGAAAGGGACTTCAGTAATCTTGTCCCACCCTCTTATTTTATATTGAGGACACTGAGGCCCAGGAACCTGCAGTGGCTGGCTGAGGACCACAGGCAGCCAGCCACAGAGCCACGACCGAGGCCACATGTTCTGAATTTTTATTCTGTGCCTGAAACTGGGGAGGAAGGGAGTAAGTTTCGGACTTTTCAGAGGTGCCTCAAACGATGCTGGCAAGAAATACTCTGCCAAATCTCTAGTCACCTGTTTCATCAAGCTTTTCTCCTTCATGCTGTTTTGTGTATTAAAGTGAACCAAGGGCCAGGCACAGCGACTCACACCTGTAATCCCAGCACTTTGGGAGGCTGAGGTGGGTGAATCACCTGAGGTCAGGAGTTCAAGACCAGCCTGGCCAACATGGTGAAACCCTGTCTCTACTAAAAATACAAAAATTAGCTGGGCATGGTGGTGCACACCTGTAAACCCAGCTACTTGGGAGACTGAGGCAGGAGAATCGCTTGAACCCGGGTGGTGGAGGTTGCAGTGAGCTGAGATCACGCCACTGCACCCCAGCCTGGGCAACAGAGCAAAACTCCATCAAGAAAGAAAGACAGAAAGACAGAATGAAAGAAAGAAAAGAAAAGAAAGGAAAGAAAGAAAGAAAGAAAGAAAGAAAGAAAGAAAGAAAGAAAGAAAGAAAGAAAGAAAGAAAGAAAGAACAAAAGAAAGAAAGAAAGAAAGAAAGAGAGAGAGAAAGACAGACAGACAAAGAAAGAGAGCGAGAGAGACAGAGAGAAAGAGAGAGACAGACAGAAAGTGAGTGAGTGAACCAGGAAGAGGCACTAACACCCAGGGGTGCTGGGGACCAATGCTTGGTGGAACAGAGGGTGGGAGTTTTGTAAACCACCCTGCTTGGAGCCCCAGTCCACACTTGGCCCCAAATACAATGTGCTGTAAATAAATGAAGTCATACATGAACAGGTGTTTGGAACTAAAATTAAGAAACTGTCACTTGGAAGATGATTAAGTTGCCGATTCAAAGAACATTTAAAGAAAAAAAAAAAAAAAAAAAAAAGCCCAAATGAAGAACAGCAAAAGAACTTCCAAAGGGGCCGAGAAGGGGAAGTTACTGCTTCTAAGGAATAAAAGCAGACACATTGCTTCCCCGTAAGTAGCAAAGTAAGGGTCAAAAGAAGACTTCGACCCACGGAGGCAGCCAAATGAAAACACAGTTGTTGCTGGCTTTATTTCTCAGCATTTATCTCCCAGCTTATCTGTAGAATTAATTACTCAAAAGTCATGCCTGCATACGTTAAAAAGCTGGCCTGTGGGTTAATACTACAGAGGGGGGAGATACCACGGTGACTAACGAAAAATTGCATAGGACTTCAGCAGGTTTAGAATTTGAAGCTCATAACCCAAAGTGAAATTTTTAGGAAACTGAGCAGAAATCCTGCCACTGAGGTGGGATCATTCATTCAAAAGTGCAAGCAAGACATTGACCCTGGATCAATCCTGAAACGTGGACGTAAAGTCTGAGGAAACCAGATTCCCACTGGCAAAGACAAGGACCACCAACAATGCCGAGGAAGGGGGCTGTGTGTGGGGAGTGGGTTTATGAATGGGTGAACATCTTGTGCACAGAGCTGGGTGGGAAATCACCCAGCAACCTCTCAGATGCAAGGGCAAGAATCCAGGCAGCTTAACCTTGAACTGTAACACACATTTATTGACAGAGTGCCTGCCACAAATGCGGCCCCGAGCCACGCGTTTGGACTGACATTAAAAGCTAAACACTTTTAAACTAAATGGGGTGGGGGGGGGGGACACACTCCCACAACAACACAACACAACACAACACAACACAACACAACACAACACAACACAACGAGAGAGAATGCATGCAAGGACATGAGTCAAGCGCGTCGAGAAGTTAGCAGAGGAGATGGTTACTGGAGTGGGGCAGGAAAACTTCGGGGAAAGAGTGGCACTGGCCTGGCTTGGCAGGTGAACACTGATGTGGGGAAGGGACTAGGGGCAGAGGGAATGCAGGAACAAAGGCACAGAGGGGCTTAGCAGAGGGGATCCAAGGAACAGGAAGTTCCCCTCACAAAGATCAGAGTCTGACTCTAGTTGGGGAAATCCTTTGCACAAATGACCTATAACCGAGCATGCAGTAAGAAACACTGGACGCTGGAAGAGTAAACTGATTTAAAGACATAGCATTTCCTTGCAGAGAGGTTCTAAGGGAAAGACAGCTAGACAAGGCAACATGTAATACTGGTGGAAATGAAAACTGACCTCCATTTCTGGCCTCAGAGACCGGAGGTAACTTTTGAGATCGCCCCGCGTCATCAGTTCCATGATGACCAGCGTTGGCTGGCCCTGGGACACCACACCCAGCAACCGCACCTGGGAGGAATCAAAAAGAGAAAGACTCAGAGGGTCAGGGTGGCCCTTGCTGGTGCCTGTGTTGTCTGGAACTGTCTCTGTGGTGCTGTGGCCTGGTCTGAGCATAGAGGTCGGAAAGTAACAGTGAGGTAATGGGGTAACTATCCAAAAGGCAAAGGCAAGACACCAAACCCACGGGTATATGTAGCCAAGAACACACTGAGGGGCTTGTGTGATACCCTCTTCCTGTGCAGCATTTTGGCTTTTCAGGAACTTTCTCTTACCACATGATGACAATTGAACTCCTTCATCACAGAAGCCTCGTTGAGAAACTCGATCCTTTCACGCATGCTCGCGGCCTCGTTCACTGTTTTAATGGCCACTCTGGTTTCAGGTTCGTCTTTCACCACACCCTTGGCAACTCCTTCATAGACCATCCCAAACGACCCCTGCCCAAGTTCCCGGCTCATGGTGATCTTCTCCCGAGCCACCTCCCACTCATCAGGAACGTACACTGGAGAAGAAACCGTAATTAAAGCAGGTACAGAAACAAGGCCTTAGACAGAATGTGCTTTGGGGGAACTCTAAGCCAAAGAATGTAAAATGCTGCTTCCTTAAACCCACAAAGGAGAATACCAGGAAGCGACGGCATGGCTTGCTCTCAGCTTTCCACATGCTATCGATTTGAGTAAGAAAACTGTACAGTCAGTACTAGTATTTCAAATCTCTGAGGATTTCAAGATAATCTGAGGACACTAACAGATATAAGGACCAGAACGAAGCAAAGAAGCCTAGTATAGGAAAGAAAGCAGTTGTTTTTTTAGATTTCATCATATAAAAATACATTTTTGAAAAAAACAAATTAGGCATAGGGGATAGAGAAACTGAATGAAATGGTCAAGCAGGATTGTACCCATCTTCACCAACAGATTAAAATGCAAATGTGAAAAGGAGGAGAGCAGGAGCGAGAGGGAAGAGTTCTTATGCTGGGTTGGGAAAAAGGTCAGAGTCGCATGTGAGAGGTGATGATGGTCATGTGAGGTCCTACTTCCTGGATGAATCCAAAAGGGGTGTCAAGGGCCCTCAACACAGATGCTATGCCTGGGCTATCTAACACGGTAGCTGGTCCCTACATGGGACTCCTGAGCACTCCATGTTTGAGACATGCTGTAAGTGTAAATAAAATACACATGGGATTTCAAAGACCAGCCAAAAAAAAAAAAAAAAAAGTATTTAGGTAACTTTAATACTGACTGTATGTTAAAATGGATATTTTGGCTATAATGGGTTAAATAAAACATATTATTTGAACTAAAAACATTATTAAAATGCATTTGATCTGTTTCTTTTTACTTTTAAAAAATATGGCTACTAGAAAATTTGCGGTTACAAAGCTGAATTGCATTATTGGTAGGATTACTCTAATCAAAGTGTTCCCAGCCTTGGCTTTGATGGCTGGATCCCTGACGAGGTGCAGAAGCAACTGAACTCTGAGACTGAGGGAGAGACTTGGTGGTGCCCAGTGTGGAGAAGCAATCAGGCAGCTGATGAGCAGAGGCGTTTCCAGGGCTCTGTGAACTCAGGAGGACCTTCGGCAACGGAGGAATGAACAGTAAATACCAAGCCTGAATAGGATTTCTTCTCCAGTTTCTGTTTAGATTCGATCTGGTTTAAGAAAATAAATAGGCCGTGTGCAGTGGCTCACGCCTGTAATCGCAGGCCAAGATGGGAGGACTGCTTGAGCCCAGGAATCTGAGACCAGCCTGGGCAACATGGCAAAACACCATCTCTATTAAAAAATTACCCAGGTGTGGTGGCACACACCTGGAATCCCAGCTACTCAGGGGGCTGAGGCAGGAGAATTGCCTGAGCCCAGGAGGTTGAGGCTATAGTGAGCTGAGATTACACCACTGCACTCCAGCCTGGGCAACAGAGTGAGAACCTGTCTCAAAAAAACGAATGAATGAATAAACAAATATTTTTAGGCAGGCAGGAAGGCAAAACAAAGAGAAAAAAAGAAAAAAGATCAGAAAGAAAACAAAACCAGAGGCTTAATTCTCCATCTCCAAATGGGTAGGGTAAAAATGAAAATAAAATCAACCTATTCCATAAGATCCATACGAAACGTCAATAATTCCTCTGATGCTGTGTGCTAATGTCCTTGCCTGACGGGACCTGCCACCAGGCTCTACCACACACTGACTGTGGGAAGGAAGTGGTCCTGGCTCAGAAAGGAAGTGGAGATGTGCCTGTTTTTGCTTTAATGCTTTCAGATGTTGACCCTGGGCCTGTGGCTGGATGTGAGAGGCTGACAACTGTATCCCAACATCTCCATATCCCAACTATCGACCCTTAAGTGATGTCTAAAAGGACAGATGTTTATTATAAATTAGGCCCAGGAGGGGCACCATCAATTTAGACCTCTGAGGGGTGTCCAATATGAACTTTATTAATCATCTTCAGTTTTCTTTCCTATACATTTTTGTACTTTACAGTACATATGTCTCAAGGGTTTCACGAATGGAACTCTGCCCTCCAGCTGGCGTAGGTGGCTTGCACCCCTGAAGAAGAGGCGGGTGCTTGTCAGAGGAGAGTAAGTATGCAAAACAACCCAGGAGATTTTCTTCACAATGCCCCTCAGAAAGTGTAAAGAGTTCATTGTCTCCAGCCATTTATCTCTGAGAATCCAGGCTTGCTTTTAATCAGAATTAACTATTTAGCCTGCCATAAAACATGGAGTTAAAACCAATCACATTCATTCCCTGGGAGATCTCTGAAGTCAACACCCTCAATCCTTTTCTCTACATTCAACCCAGCAGCTCTGACTTTAAGCAGCAGTCCCCAGTGCCACCAGCCAGGAGTGGTTTCCGTGTTCAATGTTATCAGCACTTTCCTGTAGGGGATTTTCAATGTACTCTGGAGAATGGTGACATGCAGATTAGCTTTGGGAAAAGCAAGTTTTTAAAGCACTTTTGAACTGCAAAGTCATTTTGTTGCCCCTTGAGGATACTGGCTATAAGGTGCTTGTCAAAGGCCGAATAAATTAAGTTCAAATAAGGTGACACTGTTCCCACCTGTCGGCATGGGTGGCAATAAGTTTGTTTTTGTTTTAATGAAGTACCAAGACATATCATGAAAGCATTCTAGAAGGACACAAAATGTGAATTAAAGTCACCATGAGAATCTGATTTTGTTGTATTGATGCTTTCTTTCTCTTCCTGGACACTTCATAGTCAAAAACTACACACACCAACCTCTAGTGCTGTATTTCAAAGCAGAATAGCTTCTCTGGTCCGGTCACAGTCCACCCTCACAGAGGGGAAAGTGGTCTTGCCTTGTTCCTATCAATTCCATTATCTGGGATGGCTCCCTTCCTGTTTTTTTCTTTTTTAGAAGCTATTATTTATACAAACAATGCATATCTATCTTCTTGATGGATTTTGATTTTTAAGAGCCAGTCTCGCTCTATAGTCTAGGCTGTAGTGCAGTGGTGAGATTCTAGCTCATTGCAGCCCTTGGGCTCAGGTAATCCTCTCATCTCAGTCTCCTGAGTAGCCGGGACTACAGGTGCATGCAACCACATCTGGCTTTTTTTTTTTTTTAAAAAGGGAAAGATCCTCTCCACAAGTAACAACTCTTTTAAGTGTAGTGTGCATCCGTCCAGAATGTTCTTTCTGCCTTACATACACAAACATACAGATGTATGCATGTATATACTACTATTAAGAAACCAACTTTGTGAGATCTTTATGTAGACAGAAATAATGTCCTTATTATTCTGCACCTGATTCCCATGCAGAGGAGGCTGCTTTTGATTGACTTTACCATAAACTGAATTAGCAATGATTAAAGAAACCATAGTAAAACCCTACATAGTATAACGGTGTTTTCACATTATCAAAGTATTTTCTTATGTTTTCTCATTTGACCACAATAATTACAACAATCATGTCTCTTTATTTCACATCTCCTGCATCTACTTTCACTTCTCCCGAAGCAAGAAGGCAGCAAACACTTTCCTCTAAACATACTCACTCAACTTATTTATTCATTTGATGAATCCGGTCCAGCCCCTCCTGCGGGCCAGTTCCTTGCCTGCCCAGGGGACCTCACAGCCCTTTCCGCAGTGATTCCATTCTCCTCCTGACTTCTCAACTGTCTAGCTATGTGACCCTGCACAAGTTTCTTCGGGAGTTCATTTCTTCACCTGCAGATGGGCATTAAGAAAACCCACTTTGCAGGGGTTTAAGAAATAAATGGGATGGTGTTTGTAAAAGCCCCTAGCAAAGTGCCAGTTAAGGGTCCTAGTATCACTGGACTCAATGACCAACCCCTCACTCTAATCTGACTCACTCAAAAGGTCTGGATATAAAAATACTAGAAAGAAAAGAGCAAAAAAGGAAATAACCATTAAGGATCACCCAACTTCCATGTCAGACCTTCCCAGCCGCTTAACTGAATGGCCCTTATTAGTTATTACCAAAGGGAATGTGAATGATCCATGAGCGTATAACCCTAGTCGAAGGGAATGACAGAAAAATTCCATGATTAAAAAAAAAAGCAGAGCTGTAATTCATCAAAGACAATTATAATGAGATGATACTCAAGCTGAAACTAGTTTAAAAGGACTGTTTTGTCAGCTGCAGCACATCCTCTGACTAGATGTTAACAATTAAAAAGCTGTTTTCATTCTAGCATAACATCTCAAGCAATTAAATAAATTGATTACTGTGCTGGCCACATTCATCTCTAAAGCCTGTGTTTCCTTGGGGCACCCCATACAGTTCACAAGTTTTGACATATTCACTGAACTGCTAAAAACTTTGATTAAAAAAAAAAAAGAAATATTAATGAAGACAGGTCCAAGGCCAAAGGTAGCTCAAAATAATGCAAACCTCCTTCCTTTCCCGAATAAGCAACCCTCCTGAAGCTCCCGATCTACCTTCCCTGCACGCTAGCAGTGCCGGTGGCCCGGACTCTTACCATCCGCAGCGCTGAAGTACTCCGGGTTCACAGACGCGTACAGCACTCCATTCCCCAGCCTGCTGTTATTTCTGTCAAAAATATTAAACTTACGTTAACAAAACCCCACCTCCATACATTTCTGTATATACTTTCATCTTTGCTACAACAGTTTCATTTGTTCTGTCTCACACAGTATCAGCAGAAGAGAATGGGGAGAGCTTACTGTTTACAGCAGCTCTTGTCTACACTCCCAATTCAGGCCTGGGTGGGCCAGCAGACATTTGCTAACACATCTTCTGGCTTCCTCAGTAGCCTGAAATTAGAGCTTTTTAAGAAACATCTGTTTCTTTACTTCATTGGAAATAAAAAGGCTTATTTGATTGGGAGGGCTAGTGCATCACGTTTGGAAAAGCATGCACCAGCAGCAGTCCTGTGTACCAGAGAAGCCAGCCAGGGGAAGGTCTGTACTATCGAAAAATTATTTTGGCTGTTGTTAAAATCATTAGAAAAGGTTCTCTTTTCCTGGAAGAACACTTGATGGGAAAATCAGGTTTTCCAGTCCATAAAATATTTCCTTGAAATCTTCAAAAAGATTACCCTCACTCACATTCAAATCATCAAACCACTTAGCCACAGAAAGTGTCATAACTTTGCACATCACTGACCTCTTTCTATGGAAGACGTACAGCATGATCACCAACCCTCCCACGATCAACAGGACAGCGACGGGCAGAGCGATGATCAGATGGATGAAGTTTTCATATCCTGCTGCAGCAAAGAGGAGGAAATGATAAATATCACCAGGTGAAGAATCTGCTCATTTCATTTTTTCACATTCAGTCAGAAGTACGAAAAAAATACCTGTATATTCATTTATTCCCCATCATACAGTAAGAATTCCTGAAGGTAAATGGTGTCAGAAATAGAACATGGCAAACAATTATTTGAAAAAAAGAGTAAATACGTGCAGACTGAGGCATAAACTCATTTTTTAAAGTACAGTATATTCTGGCGTAATAGTTTCAATGATAGACTGAAGAAAAATAATCTTTGCATGCAGTTTAATGACTGTTAGTGAAAATGCATACATTTGACACTAATTTCCCACATCCCACAGAATGTTCCAGGGTTTGGTCCATGTCCCTGGTACCCAGCCTAGCATCTGCCATACAAGTGTTGGTTCTGGTGGTAAGGGGTCTCTGTGATCTCACACCTGTAAAATGACTCAAATACTTGCAGCAGCAAGCATTCTATTTCTAATAAACAGAATGAAAATTTCTATTCATTTTTATAAAACGAACAGAAATTCTTACATCTATGTATAGTCTACATCTATGTATAGATCAAGTCCTGCCAGCCCTAATCTTTGAGATAGTTCCATAGACAATTTAAAATAAACACACACACACATTCACGCACTGGATGGCACCCCTTTCCAATGCTGCTGCAAACATTTGAGTCCTGTTACAAGTCTAAGACCACAGAGACCACTGATCATCAGAACCAGCACTTGCATGGCAGATGCCTGGCTGGGCACCAGGGACATGGACCCTCACCCCTGAAACATTCTGTGGGACATGGGAAATCAGTGTCAACAGGTAGCATGACAACTAGAAAAGTGGACTTCGCATATGGCAAGGATTCAGAGAGGAAAGGAGAGGAGAGAAGGGAGTCAAGGGAACCTCCCTAAGGGAAAACTTCTTTATGATATGCTTTTCTTGGGGGTTGTGGGGAAATGGCTTTCCTAGAAAATGATGATACTGGAGAGATGTCAGGGCCAGCTCACAAGGGACCCTGTCCAAGCTAAGCAGTTTCAACCTCATTCTGCAGATTAAAAGGAGTCAGCGAAAGCTTTCAGGCCCAGCAGTGAACTGATAAGATTTGAGATCCAGGGAAATGGCTGTGCTGAGGACAGACTGAGGGATCTGGCAGTAAGAGAAGGCACTGTCATGTCTTAGAGAATTCGGGGTACAAGCCATGTCTCCTGGGCATGCTCTGCATTACCCAGTTCAGACCTACAAAGAAGTCACCAATCCTTGTCTATACACCAGGCAGACTCACAGAGATGCTCTGGCTTGGTAAGTCATGGCCCCAGGAAGAGGCTCATACAATGTGATAGCTCATACCATCCCCCTAGGGTGAGTGACCTGGAGTCTGAGCTGTGGCGGTGCTGGTGGTGATAGATGGCTGGATTCCAGAGACATTTAACAGGCAGAATCCATGAGGCTTGGGTTGGAATGAAAAAGGGGTGGCTGGAGAGAAAGAAGAGTGAGGGATGCTGTGAGGTTCCTGGCTTGGGTAACGAATGGATTACAAGGCCACTGACTGAGCTAAGCAGCAAAGGAGAGAAGAGGCCTTTTGAGGGCAACAACTGTGATTTTGGTTTTGACACAACGAATCTGAGACCTCTCTGAGACATCCAAGCACAGATGTCTATGCGGAAATGGGCTTGGAATCACTGGGGATCAAGTTAACATTAATCATAAGTTCCCTATCAATGATTATTTTGCCATTAAAAACTGTGATCATGGTTACGCTTTAAAGACTACTAAAGCTGTTTTAATTTTTAAAATTAGAAGTATTTTGATGAAAGAAAAAAGATATTTTTATTGATATTGTGTCTCTTAAAATGGATGCAGTATCCGGCATTTTATAATTCCTCAAAACACTCACAGGTGATCATTACCAAGGGGAAGCTGGCAGATTTTTCTTTCTTCCCCACTGAGGCCTGCTGTTTATATCACTTATACTACTGGTCAGGCTGTACTGTGTTCTTTTTGAGTTTCACATTTCAACAGGGACATGGAGAAACTGGAACACATCCAGAGAAGAACAAAATGATTAAATGGCTGGGAAATTGGTGTATGATATTGGGCTATGAGAAAAGGCCAAAAGACCTGAGATTATTTCATCTGGAAAAGAGAAGTCTGAGGAGTGATTTAATAGTATTCAGGCACACAAGGAGTTCCTAAAAGGAAGGCAGTTGCCTGAAAGCTTCCAAACCTTCCATATCCTCTGAGGATTAAATAAGAGGAAATGAGACTAAACTGTAGTAGGACAGAGTCTTGTCTGACATAAGGAAAAATTTCTCAACAGTAAGGCCAGCACGTAGATTCAATTTCCCTGCAGTATGTGATAATATCTGCTGGAAAAATTTCATCAGAAGGACTCCTGATTTCCCACTGGCATCCTGGCACTTACAAGGTTAAAAATGGAGCAGCACAGGCAGACAGGAACATGTCATGTCACCAAAACAAGCTGAGTTCACTCAACCCCAGAAGCCAAGGCTGCTGTTTCACAGATCACAGACCCCCAAACTAGGTAGGCTCTGTTTCTAGGAGATGGAAGGGAGGAAAAAGAGAAGGGAAGGAGGCAGGGGAGAGAAAGCAAGCAAGCCACTACTCTGGACAAGGTTACAGGAATATTGTGAAGGTTCTAGGTGCTGCAAAGGTGGCACAGACTAACTGGTGAGACTAGGTTAACTGGACTAGATGGGAGAATTCTATTTTAATTGACAAAATTATCTGCCTAAACATCCATTTACCTCCAAAAACCTGAACCAGGAACAATGCCAGGCATATAAAATGTTGGCTCAAGATTTGCAGTTCTATTCACCCCCATCCTGCTTTTGCTGTATTAGGATTTTCAGATATCACAACAGATTAGAATATTGGGTGCTGACCAGATGACTACTGGAGACTTTTTTTTTTTTCAAATTAATTTTAATATACAAATAAAAATTGTACATATTTATCATGTACAATATATTGTTTTGAAATATGTATACATTGTAGAACGGCTGAATTAAGCTAATGAACATATGTATTACAACACATTTTTTGTGTGTGTTTGGTGAGAACACTTAAAATCTATTGTCTCAGCAATTTTTAAGAATACATCATTATTACTATCATCATGTTGTACAATAGATCTACTGAACTTATTCTTCCTAACTGAAATTTTGTATCCTTTGACTAACATCTTCCCAAATCTGCTCCCTCACCCTCAGCCCTGGTAACCTCCATTCTACTCTCCATGAGCTTAACTTTTTAGATTCCACATTATCAGTAAGATCATGTGGTATTTGTCTTTCTGTGTCTGGCTTATTTAACATCATGTCCTCCAGGTTCAGCCAGGTTGCCACAAATGACATTTTTTTTCTAATTTATGGTAGAATAGTATTCTATAATGTGTATGTGCCAGGTTTTCTTTACCCATTCATGTACATAGTGATGGACATTAGGTGGATTCCATGTCTTGGCCATTGCGAAGTGTTGCAGTGAACGCGGGAGTGCAGAAAGCTCTTCGACATACCAATTTCATTGCCTTTGGAAATATACTAGAAGTGAGATTGCTAGACCTGTTGAGTGCGTGTTTTTTTTTCCTTTTCTTTTTTTTTTTTTTAGACAGAGTCCTGCTCTGTTGCCCAGGCTGGAGTACAGTGGCATGATCTCGGCTCACTGCAACCTCAGCCTCCTGGGTTCAAGAGATTCTCCTGCCTCAGCCTCCCAAGTAGCTGGGATTACAGGCTTGCACCACCGCCCCCAACTAATTTTTGTATTTTCAGTAGAGATGGGGTTTCACTATGTTGGCCAGGCTAGTCT